GAAGTTATTAAGTAATTATGAAACATAAATGTGGTAGTTATTAATGAAATTGAAAAAATATTTGTAAACGTGCAAAACAAATTACTTCCTTATTATTGATGGATGACAATTTAGCTTCTTGTTTTTTTCCCAATTTTGCTTTAAAAAGCTTTTTAAATTATACTCTGGAATTTTGCTAGAATTCACTTTGCTAAGGTCTATTTTTAAGATCAAAAAAAAAAAACTTTCACTTCTCTTTCCCAATCATACTTTCTATCTCTGAAAGTTCTGTTTGATCACTGAGGTTAATACATTTCAAAATGCTTCGATTTTACAACTTCTATTTGCGCAGTTGTAATCGCACAAAAGTTAACAATTCACATACATTATCTTGAAGGAGAAACATTTACTAAATTGGCTAACAATAATTAATGATTTATCTGACAAATGAGCTTCATACATGCTAAATTATTTTGTCTAGTATTTAATTGAAATTATCTTGTGCAATTACATTTTATTTGAATAACGCTTACTCTTAAATTAAAAAGATCGTGTAAATTTGTTAAGGAAAGCTAAGGAAAAATGCATGTTATGACCGATATTCTAGTTATATATTACCATTGAAAATATATTCTTATTGAGCTTTAACCAATTAATGAAAAGTAAAATGTCACATGGAAACAATTCAAACAACAGTTAACATTTATGAAGAAAGAAAGAAAACAAAAATGAATTTGTCAAAGAAATAAACTGCAATGCATTTTTAAATAAGTGAAAAATTATCGGCATTTTTTGAAGCCGCTTTAAATTATATATATTTGATTTAACCACATGGATTGTTCGAAAAACTTCTGAGATTATTTTACTCTTGGTAGTATCAAAGGGAGTAAGTCAATTAATAATAAAAATTAAGCGGTTAGTATAATTAGCTCTATATTATCAGCAATTTAGGATAGTAATATAATCTCAGTTGTTCTTGATAATTAAAACGGGCTTATTAACTTTGACTATTTGCTATCACCGTTCTCGAACAGTACTGCTTTCAGCAGCCAAATTGTTGTTATCACTGCGATGGGATGCAGATGACGAACAACTGCTTGTCGTTTGTTCCAGCGTGCTCGAACTTGCCATCTCGCGTTCACGATCCGTAAATGGTTCATATAAGTTGAATCTAATTAAATATACTTCTTAATTATAATTATACATGAGAATGTAAATTTATATTTTATTCAACAGGCAATGCATACAAATACAAACATTAATTACTCTCAAAAATAAATATGCAAATAGCAAAAATAAAAAATAATTACACAAATCCGCCTTGTGTTTCAATCATTACATCACCATCATCATCACTATCCTGATCTGGAGCCACATAAACCACTTTTAAATTTAATTCGCCTTCCTGGAATTGTGCTAAAATGGTAAACACTGAAGAAATAAAAAGCGAAATAAAAGATCAAGTGAAGTAATATCTATAATATTATGATTGTAAGCGAAATTAATTGTGCTCAATAATCGCATATTTTGCAAACAAATATGAATGCTAATATTATTTGACAAAAGAAATATTTCAATTATAGGCTATCCGGTGGAGTAAAAGCAAAATCTCTTCAGATATTCGAAAAATTACAAAAATTCTGTACAATTATGGCAAATAAAGGAAAGTTCTTTAAAAATAGTTCTTTAAAACTATTTGCTACTCTTTAAAAACTCATTTAAAATAACTCATCAATAAATTATTTCAAACTAAAATATATTGAAAGCAGTATCATTAAAAGAGCACATTATAATATCTGTAATAATGGAATGTATCAATGATTAAAGATAAAAAGCACAAATGACTGAAAGTATTTAGAAGTAAGGGAGATAATGCAAAAGCAATAACCTCAAACCTGTTCGGAAAGTATATGTACGGCTTCATTATGCTTTGCAGTACGCAAATCAATGCCATTAACGGATAATATGGCATCACCAACAAATAAATTGCCACATCGTTCAGCAGGTTGATTTGGATGAATTTCCGAAATTAAAATTGGTACACCGTGTTCTTTTCCACCCTAAAATCCTCGATGAAAATTTCTTTAAACTTAATGGGTAAATATGCAAATTAGTTTGTTCAAAAAGTCTTTGCAATGTTATTGATTTGAATTGCATGGCATTTGAAATTATCTGATTTATATTAGGGACTACCATATCAGATCTAAGGAAGTATTGCTGACCTCGGATGGATAATAACAAATGTATGCATGGGAAATTGTTTGCGTGTCTCAGATGAAGAAAAATCAGGTAAAAGGTCCTCATTGTGAATCAGGACAGAAAATCACCACTTAAAATAACATGGAGTACAAATAGCACCGTAATAGATATGCCGAGACCTTCATGTGAATTCCTGACAAGTTTAACACTGCGCATTTGTCCCACACCTTTCTGTTTCCGTAAGCTTCTGTAATCATGATGAGGTGGTGACGGTAAATGCTTCTGACTACCTCTTCTTCCTCTGTAATAACTTCATTTATTGCAAACTTATTACTAATCAAAAACATATCAACATTAAAACTTTCAAGGCTAAAATTAGCATACCTGCATGCTCGAATTACAGTTTTATGACGATGGAGATGAATTTCAGCTTCCAATTGATTCCATAATCGATCGTGTTCAGCTCCACGCATATCTCTACCAAGTAACTGAATTTGCTGAATTCTGAAATTAAATTGAGAAGTTATAGTTTTTGAAAATCACCGACTATTTTTATCGGGAAATTATGCATTTCATCTCTGTTGCTTTTTGAGCTCAGTTGATCGGGACATAGTAATTAGTTCCTTTGATTTAATTATAGCTTTACTAAGGAAAACTGAAAATGTTTCTGAAAAAAGTAAAATGATAAAAATACTTTCTTCATTTAGCAATTTAATTAAATTATTATCAAACCTTCCAGCAAGCTCTTTGTCTAAATATTTGGCAGCAAGTCGAGCACCATAAACTTCATTTTGCATACCGAGAATCATTTGACGATATTTTTTGTTTTCTTTACGAAGAAGTTCCACTTCCGAACGCAGTTTTGCAGGAGGCCGAATTTCGGATCGAAAATTTAGTATCTCTTGCTCCTATTTTTTTAATTGAAAAATTATTCATATAATAATTTTTATTGCATTGTGAGTTAATTTGTAAAGAAACTTAAATTATGAAACAACTGATTAGTAATAAAGAGAGTGAGAAAATTGCTTAAATTTTACCTCTTTTCAGCGGTTTAACAAGTAAATGAATTTAAATAAATAACTAAATGATTAATATTGTAAACTTTTGTTGATCCTTGGCCATGCCAAGCAAATACTTACTAATGTGAAATACTTCGAGACTAATGTAAAATATGAGATTAAGAATTTCACCTATGCCGTGAGTGATCGGCTGAACTATTTTTATAAGAATAATGCTATAGTTTGTGACCTTAAGTGTATTATCATTCAATATTGATCAGAACTTCTTATCATTAATCAAATAGCAGAAAAATAAGGTGACGGAATAAATATGATTGCAATGTTAAGTTTTACAATCAGCACGAATGAATTTAACAATTATTTTCGAATATTTCAGTTACTTTGTATGGATTACCTCACTTTGCTTTTTGTTTGGATTCTATGTGAAAGAATTG